GCCCCCCCCCCCCCCCCCCCCCCAAGTCCAACGTCCGCACCTACCGCGTCCCTTACGGGTTTCGTCAATTTCCGCGGGCTCAATCGCCTTGAGGAGACGCGGGCAATGGCCTAGCGACGAATGCATGCACTACATGAGTACGCCCCCCCTCCCGCCCGCCGTTGCCCAACCCGCCTTATGTGGTGTCAGGCTCTGTATGCCCAGCTTGGCGTGCGCTCGGCCCTTGTGCGGGCTTGCCATGACTTGCCGTCGCGGATAGAGCTGCGGTGTGATGGGCAACTGGTGGACCTGCCCGGTGAGGGGCGGTGTGTCTGGTCTGGTCCTGTCTCAGTGGGTGGCGGACGTGTGTTGCATGGGTGCTAGCTGTTGATCGGGTATCGAGGGTGCGAAACGCCAGAAGGGGGTCTCAGTTATGTTCACCACTCCGTACCTGTTGTCTGCGGAACGTGATTTGTTTCGTCAAGCGGTGTCCCCCAAAAGTTGGCCGCGTGTCAGCTATCCCCTCTCATCCTGCCTCCCCGGGACCCCCACTCGTCTTCACTTCGGTCGTCTTTTTCTTTCGCAGCGACCACCGCGAGCATCATCGCGTGTAACATCAACAGCTACGGGGGGGGTTCCAAGCTGTGGGCAGTGGAGGTGAGCGGATATTCTTAATAGTACTTGTTTGTTGTTGCTCCGTACGCTGCTCCGCTCTCCGCACGCTATCATGTATCATGTATACCGGTCCAACTGACGTGGATCGTCTTTTGTGGTCGCAGAATAGTCTCCACGGAAACCCCCGCGGTGTGCCCCGCGGTGTGTGTGATGGGTGATGATGCGATATCGCCAGCACATACATATACCAGACATATGCCGACAGTGTGGAGAGGATGGGAGAAACGCAACCCCGCTAGTAGTGGCTCGGCTCAGGCTGCAAAGGGCCCGACCGCAGCGTATAAACAGAGTGCCTCGGCTCCGGCTGCAAGGTCCTAGACTGCGTAGAGGAGGATTCATAGAGGGATCACGTGATGTTAGTATTCGTATATACAGGAGCGCCAGCCACGCGGGGCGGGCGTAGTTTGACCGCCGCTGAGTCTAGTCTCTCTCAGCACCAGCTGTACACAGGACCGTCGTATAGAGCTAAGAATCACACCGCAGCGCCTGCAGTGCCTGCCGACGCACGTGCTGCGGAGGCCCGCACAGCAGAAGCTACTGCTGGAACTCCCGAAGCACCTGCTGTGCTTGCCGCCACACGCGGTGGCGGGATCCGCACAATCCACAAGCCCGCTACACGGGTACACAGCACACGCCCCTCTTGCATCACACCCCTGAAGCAGCTTAGCACAAGGGTAGCAACTGTTACACGCCCTTCGGTGCCACCACGTCGTCTTGTAGCCTGGGTACACACCTGTGAAGTGAAATTGATCACCACGAGAGTAACGAAAGTTTCACACCCCGTTCAAATATGATGAAAAACAGCGCCATGTCGGTGTCGAGGTTGTATCAACCTAAATTGATTATTTTCCTACGGGTGCATCCTCTGCAATCCATGATCGGCAGATGTCCACCGCCTGTTCGCCCCCCACCCCCCCCACCCACCCCGAGGAATCTCTCCTTTGATGCCCCCCTCCGTGCGCATATTTTCCAGGAGCGAAATAGGCGTACCTGGGCAGGGAGAACCTCCAACCATCCCCTGAGCTACCCCCAGTCCCAGCAGCAACGAACCACCATGTGGGGTTTCGATACGGGCGGCCTGGTCAACCCGGGGGGAAGCCTGTCATCCGGCGGTGCAGGGGGGCAGGCGGCAGCCGTTGGAAACCCTGAGGCGGCATCGCCACGGGGGGGCGGGGGAGGGGAGATGCCGCGAACGCCGGCGGCGGCGGCGGCGGCGGTGACTGTGGGAGAGAACACTCGATTACGGCGCTTCCGTACGCGGCTAGGCGGAGGAGGCGTTGGAAGGGAGGGGATGGGGTCGGGGCGCCCCCCCCCCCTCGCGGCCGGTTCGGTGGAAGGGGGCTCCGCCGGGGAGGAGGGGTCCTGGGGGGGGGGGAGCGACGCCGGAGAGTCTTCCGATAGCGACGAGGGGAGGTGGGAGAAACCGAGGGACAGCCGCGGCTCGTCGTCGAAGAGGCGAGAGTCGAAGACCTCGTTTCACGATGGTGTGCTGGAGGTGGTGGCCGTGGAAGGGGTGCTCCATCTCGGACAGATTCAGGTCAGTGAGGGGGTGTGTGTGCTCATAGCCGGGCATGCCGTAGTCATAAGACCATTGACCTAGCATCCCTACAAAACCGGGACGGTGCACGCCGGCTTCTCACCGGACCAGGCTCTCACATCATCTAGGGCGAAGCGCCGTGAGGTATTCGGCGAGTCACAGGGGGGCGGGGAGGGGGGGGTGCTGGGATTTAATTGGCCGTGGTCGTCCATGTATTGCTGGCGTTGAGGTTGGCTGTGGTCGACGGTGCGTTGCTGATTGGGTTTGGCGTTGGAGTTGGCTGTGGTGGTCGAGGCATTCCTGATCGAGTTTGGTGTTTGAGTTGTCTGTGTGTGTCGTTGTGTTCCTGTATGGATTTGGCGTGAGGGGGTTCCGCCGGATCTCCAAGCTATATGATCGCGAGATTGCGCAAGTATAAATCACGCGAATTTTGTGCGGGCTCGTCAGGAGTCACGCCAGCAGCCAGAGCGAGGTATGTTTAGCTGGTGTTCCGGCAATGCATTTTTTCGATGATACTGTGGTATGAGTATGCACATAGATGATGTTGTCGCGCAGGTCTTTCAATTTCTGCGTGGCACAATCGTAGTTAACCTGCTTCAACGAAAAGTTCTACCTGATGATGCTGAATGGTGCCCAATGTTCTCCCTCAAGTCAATTCCATCGTGAGCCTCACCCGTCGCACGTACATGCTCTCCCGTGTGGTGCTGCTGGTGCTTGTGCATCCACCGCCGCCACCACTGCTTGTGCATCCACCGCCGCCACCACTGCTTGTGCATCCACCGCCGCCACCACTGCTGTACCGACCGACGCTCAACGGCTTTTCTGATGCCATGCAAATTATGGCGTTGTCGTGCGTACTGTCCCTCTCACAGCTGGGGCTATCCCGTGCCCTTGCGGTGGCGCAGTGCCGTGAGATGCAAGTGAAGTCTTCGGCCACGTTGCCGATGCAGGTGCGCGACGCTTTTTTTTTCTCTTGGTCAGTTTGCCACCACAAGACAAGCCTGAAGGTACCCTTCTCTCGCGACAAATATCTCGTCTTGTTTGCCACCATAAGGAAAGACTTAATGAACCCTTGTCGTGACAAGCATGAACGAAAGTACCGCAGAGGTTAGAAAATGAAGCGGGGGGCATGCGCCGCAGCAGAGATGTATTTTCTGTCACCTCGGATCGTAGTTCTTGAAAGAGAGAGAGGCGCAGTCGAATGGAGGGTAGAGCTTTGAGCGACAGTACGAGCACAAGAAAAATACAACTAGGATATTTGAACACTCAAATGCTTTGCTTGAAAATAGTGCATTTTTTTTTGGGTCTTTTCGTTCTGAGGCTGTTTGTTTCTTTTTGCGTGGATGCCGTGTCGAACAGCGTCTGCTGCGACGTACTGTTACTTGTTCGCCGTGTCGAGCCATGGCGGGGTTTCGTAACGTAGGACATATGCTTCGTTTGTCTGTGCACCCAGGTTCGTCCTGTGCTGCTGTGATTTTTTTTTTTTGCAAATCTACTGCTGCATTGCGACGGATGACTTTTCGCGTTATCCCGCTACGTTTTGTTCTAGGTGGACGGCGAGCCGTGGAAACAGCCCCCGTCAGAGATCACAGTCAAGCTCCTCAACCAGGTGCGCCATTCAGCACTATCGTACAGCAGTATCGTACGGCAGATATTTAGGATCCATAGCGATTAATTACTCCGCGATCTCTTGGACGAAGAGCGATCAAACGTTGCGCGGGACACGCTCGAAAACAAAAAGGTCCATTGCGTCGCAAGCTATAGGACCGAATCTGTACTTGGAGTGTTACCCGGCGTGTGTTTTCAGGCACGCGCGGAATTGTAGGCAGAGGTTCATGTGTGGGATAACTAGGTCGCCGCAGAGTTCGTGAACCCCAAGGCCGCCACTCGATAGGCCTTGCGCTTGGTCGTCGTTGAGGTACCAAGGTACCATGCATGGTACGCGTTTTTTAGTTTGCCGATTACCCTCGCACAAGCAAGGGTGACGGCACCGAGGTGTGCGGACTACTGTAGGTCTTCTCTCCGACGAGATGATGTTTCCCACAAAGCGCGCCACGTTGTGGGGACGGGGTACGTACGTGAGTGAGATTGGACCACCACGTTTGTGTCGACGTGTTCAGTGATACACTGAACCCCCTTGCCGTTCTGTCAGCTGTAGCCTTTTTTTCTGGTTGCTTTCGTGCAGACATCGCTCTCCCGCCGCTTGTGCGCTCTTCGCCCTCCGGTCGATCTGTGTACTCTTGTACCCTCACCATGTGTTTGTTCAAGGATGTGTTCGGTAGGGCACGTACCCGGGCATACCGACGGTATCACCGTCGGGATATGCCCTACCGAGCGTCTCGGCACCATTTGCACAGGCTTCCATACCCTATGCCGGAAACGTCGGTACCATCTGTACAGCCTTCCATACCCTATCGAAACCTCTGCGCGCTCGGTAAAAAGCTCCATACCCTACCCAGAGAGAGTGCCACTACCCTATCGAGCGCACCCTTGTAATTCTTTGTTCCTTTCCCCTGGGATGTTTACCCCTTTTCTTCAGGCGGCGATGCTGAGACCGGCGACGACGACCGAACGGGCCGTTGCCAGCGTGCTGAACGACGTCAGTTCGGCCATTCATGGGGCTGAGGAAGACTTGGTCATAAACGAACGGCAAGCGAGGATTCTGCTCAGCAGAATAAGAAGGTCTACGCGCTTGCCGGAGTAGAGGGCGTCATAGGCTAGTTGGATGAACATTCCTTGTGACGATCGATTGGTCAGGAATCCGAGACAGAGCTCTTGGACCACTTGAGCAATGGTAGCTTTTTTCGCGATGTATGATGTGACCCTTTCACCGCTTTTCGGTACGGGGGTTGGGCATTGGTTGCGTTATCCGCCTGGCGCTGGAAAGTTGTGTGCCCTGACCAGGCTGGAGTTGCGGTATTGGGGTGCAGCGGGAATAGGTCAGACGCCCTTTTACGGGGGTGCCCGATGTGTACACTCAACACCATGTGGCGATCTGCGCAGCGCCTGCCCACAACGGGTGCTGGCGTCTCGTGTTGCTCGGCAGGCAGCTTGCCGAACAGCGGGAGGAGATACCCATGACTCGTTCATGACGGTCGATACTTGACACAAACCTGCCCCTGTTCGGCTGTGCGGGATCACGAGCGAGACGAGTGTGCTTCGCAGAAGTCGACTGTCGTTGGGTGCCCGGCAGCGTGATCCCGCACAGCTTTCCTGCACAAGCATTTCATGAGTGGTGAGCGTTCTGTCCTTCCAGGTCTTGGGGACAACGGAAGGATGCCCCGTTTCCGCTCCTCGGAGAGACATGAATGTCACACTGGTTGGGATTTCCAGCGGGCGGGAATACCATGCATCATAACGAGAGCGATGGGTTGTGCAGGCGTGGGCGACATATTGCCGTGTGGTTCTGCTGGTGTGGACGGTCCCACCTCTGTAGGTGCTGTGAATAGTTACCCATGTTTGTCCCTTGAGCGGTCGGTTGCGTCTTCGTTTGCGTCCATAGATATTCAGCACAATTTTTAGTCTTTGCGCGCAGAGGTTGGCGCTTACCGCCTTCTACGGGGGAAGGTGGGTGGTAGGGTAGAACCCTCCCTGCTTGCCATTGATTCCGTGTTGCACTTACACAACCGCGTGTTGCGGAGCATTGTAGGGATCCACAGAGTGCTGAGGGAAGACAATAATCCAAATCGCGTTGTACAAAATAACATTTATAGAACACGTCGACCGAGTTCTCAGTTTTTTTGGGGCTTTGGGGCGGACACCGTCGTAGGTATTGTTGAATAGGATCCGAACGAAGCTTGAACGCAAGAAGCTAGGCGTGTGCTGGCATCGAGAACCGAGAAGCGAACTCGATACACAATAGTGACGCCCTCTCCGATGACTGACTTCGATCTGATGGCGCACAAATAGGGGGCTTTGTGTGGGTCTATGTCATCCCGTTCGCTCTGGATGTCGATTTTTACCACTGTCGGCATGTTGATGTTGGAAGCACAGGCCGGGTGCAGACGGGAGGAGGGCAAGCCACGCAGAACATGTTCGTTGTGCACCTTTCGTGCGGTGCGACAAGTATCCCTTTTCCGGGAGATTGGCGCGTGTGACAAAGGAAATATTCCTTTTCTTCCTGTGAGTTGTTTGCGCTCTTTGGATGACCTCACCCCCCATGCTATTGGCCGGGCTCCAGGCTGCGTGTTGTCGTTCATACTGACACGCTATCCTTCGAGCCTACTGAGTATCAGGGAGCACGGCAAACGAGAGCAGCATCGGATGCACCTCTGGAGGCATGGATGGCCACGAACGAACAAATTGCCAGCACGGTGACAGCACAACAAGCCGACTTCGAACAGCATTCAAACCTACACAACACAGCTTCTACCTCTTGTAGTTGTTCGAGGCGAGGTCGAAATAGTAGTGTCCTCTGGGTCCCGCACCCCGCGAACAGGTGACCATTTTCCCCTACACATACTTTATACAGTATACAAGGTCTCCCTTCGGGACGTGGGTGTCTACCCTCCCTCAGGTAACGCAAGACCGCATGCGGATTGCCCGAAGAGAGACTGGGTGTCTTACAACGCTTGTATTTCCGCGCAAAACATCGCGCACGTTATTAGCCTACATTGGAGCCAGCTCGAGCGGACAATATTTTGGCAGCGAAAACGCAGACTTCCATGATGTCTTTGATTGATGATGATGGCAGATTTCCGATGAGAACCGAATGTAAAGCCGAAACACCACCACAGAAATGGGACATGTTCCACACTGCGGCTGGATGCATGCTCTAAGACTTGTCTATACTTGGCCCGCTGCGAAGTGTAAACGTAAGTACTGCTGTTGGACAATGCGATGACACGAAGTGTCACAGCCATGAATCATCGAATGAATGAATGAATGGATGAACGAATGAACATGGAAAGCAAGAGGCAAATAAATGCGTCAAATCGTCGTATTTGATGGGTTTGATAGATTTCAGAATTGGTTCGCCTGGTTTTCGTCAGCGCGGAACGCGTCCCTGGGGTTTTGAGCCAGCTTTCGCAACTTTGGCCGTCAACCACACGCGCCACGGAGGCCTACCGAGCTCCGGGCACGGGCGTTAATGTACCGACGAGCCTCCTGCGTGCCCCTCAGAAGGAACCGCGAGAAAAGTCTCGCTGCCGCGAGAGAAAGAAACGCCCAAGCATGAAAAGTGACCAAATGTTATAGACCATATACCTACTATATGTTGTAGATGCTCATACAGTAGAAGTACAGACTAAAGTCTACTCTGCTGAGTTGTGCTGCTGCTGCTACCGGGAGCCCTTGGTTCCGGCGACCGTTTCAAGTTCCACGGAAGTACTTCTTGGATACCTCCCTCCTGCATCATCTCCCCTTCTTCCCCTCGCTGCCTCGGGAAGGTTTTGCGTAGGCATGACCCATAGCGAGGGGGTGGGTCTTTCTAGCGAGCAGGGCTAGACTCACCCTCAAGGAACCGATACCTTCTTGCTGCGGCGCACCCGCCGCGAGGCGTGCGTAGTGGTGGAGTTGGGTCGGCACTGGTGCGTCAGGTACAAAGGTGCAGATGCGCGGGCCTCCAGGCCGTCGGTGTAGGCAGCAAGGCCCATCTCATCTTTGTGCGCGGAGGCAGACGTCATCAGCAAGGTGGACGGGCACTATGTACACGGCCCTAGGTTTGGTAGAGGGGGCTGTACTGTCTCAGTAACCTGGTTTTGCCATCAAAGGAGGAGGGGACAGGTGGTGACGAGCTGATTGGGATGGTTGACCTTTCGGCGCAAGAATTTTCAGACCAAGAACCCTANAAGGCCCATCTCATCTTTGTGCGCGGAGGCAGACGTCATCAGCAAGGTGGACGGGCACTATGTACACGGCCCTAGGTTTGGTAGAGGGGGCTGTACTGTCTCAGTAACCTGGTTTTGCCATCAAAGGAGGAGGGGACAGGTGGTGACGAGCTGATTGGGATGGTTGACCTTTCGGCGCAAGAATTTTCAGACCAAGAACCCTAAGAGCAACGAGGGAGAAAGCGAGGAACCGACTGGGAAGGAC